ATGTAGTCCTTTGAGTGATTTAGAATTGGATAGGGTTCAAATGAATATCATTCAATTTACTTGAAAATTCACTCTCATTATGATTAATCACTAGTACGTGAAGTGAAGGAATCCATCTCATTCACAAGCATATATATATATATATACATATACATATACATACATAGAGATCTTGTACAACAAGATGAAATACTCTTTTACCGTTGGCCTGTTTATTTAGACAAACGCTATTTACCCTAACAAAATTCAAAGGTTAAAGTTGTCATAAGTTTATGTACGGTTTCATATTTAGAGTCTCATTTCTACCATATTTTTTTTTCTGGATGATTAAAAATTATATCCATTCACTTTTTATAGTGTTTTTCTTATTAAATTCATGTTTTATTCACTTTTTATATTGCCTTAAAATTGTATCCATATTCACTTTTTTTTTCATATCTATTCAGATTGAATTCGGTTTTCATTAAAATAAATAAATTTTGATATTGAATTTGGAAAAAAAATCATTTTGATATTGAATTTGGTTCCATTATACTATCTAAATTCAAATGTTGGTGCCTGTAGAAAAATAAAATGCGGAAACATAATAAGACAAACGAAAATAAATGGAATTACTTTATTGCTACATTTCTTCTTCTTCTTGTTCCATTACAATGAAAATAACTCACATATTTATAGAAAAATTAACAAATGAAATAAAAGGAAATATAGATATAACGGAAATAAATATGATTCACAATATTTAATATAATATTGTGTTCCTCCAAAATCTAGATTTTTCTCCAATCACATATTCATTTTCCTACTTCAACATTTCCCCTCAAGATTGATTTTGAAAGAATGCAAAAATCAATCTTGAAAAGATAATGCGATAAAAATCCATAGACATTTTCATTGTCTTTTGAAAAATCCATAAACACCAAATTTAGTTCTTTTAGAGAATATTACTCATGTTCAAATCACTTCGCTTGACTTTGAAGTTCTACCTTTAACTCTTTTTGTCATAACACCTCGCTTGATCTTAGAGTTTTTAGGTTTGACTTCTTTTTGTCACAGCACCTCGTTTGATTTTGGGATTTTTACTCCTATTTGAACGATTTGGATATATGAACATCCAAAACTAAAAAAAAAGAAGAGATTGAGAAAAACGCCATGTTTGATACCATGTAGAAATAAAATAAGACAAATAGAAAAGAACGAAATTACTTTTATTGCTACATCTCTTCTTCTTCTGGTTACATTATAATGAAAATGAACTACATATTTATAGGAAAATTAAGAAATAGAGTAAAAAGGAAATATAGACACAATGAAAACAAATCAGATACACAATATTTGGTATAATGATATTGTATCCATTATTATTCTCCATCATATCTCTAATCTTATTTTACTCCAATCATATATTCATTTTCCTACTTCAACAGTGCCTAACTTTACAACTCAAGTTATCTGCCATCAAACATGCAAAATTATATAAATTTTAAGACAATTGCAAACCCAAATCACTAAAGAAAATAAATGCATAAATTCCTAAAGGACGAAGATAATATGGAAGATATACATAATATCTTTATACATATCTCGATATATTAGGAATATTGTTATATTAGGGTTTATACTTTTGTGTATATATTCCAATGTATAATCACGAGGAAATACAAGCTTTCAATATTCTTATAGATAACCAATAAAGAATAAAAAAAAAGTACTGGTATGTTTCTTACGAATCAAAGAAATTTGGAATTTGTAAATCGTTTCACGCTAAATAAAAACTAAAAAATTGGGGTTGGATGTGCTGTTTTTTTATTTTAAAAAAAATGATATTACACAAAAGAAATAATTGTAACGATTTTGTACATGTATCACCACATGTGAAATCGGACGTACGTAAGATTCCTTCGAGGTTTTTAAGGGAGAGAGAAAAAATGAGGTTGGGAATAAGACAAAGAAGATAGAAGTGCAATCTATATGCAAGTTCCCGAACTTCTTGCTTGAAAATGACACGAGAACTTTAATGATACATACATACATACATACATACAGTACACATATACACATACATTGATATATATATATATATATATATATATATATATATATCAACGTGTGGGTGTACGTATATACATACAAGAAAGATTCGGGTGTCAAAATCTAAAAGCCTGTCACCGGCCTCTTAATGAGTCCGCTTCATTATTTCGTCCAGAGAGCAATGCAAAGTTTTTAATTCCATAAAAGATGCAATTTGTCTGCTTCTGACCGAAGCTTTAAATGTATCAAACATGGTCGGCAAGAAAATTTGCATGGTTAGAAGTTGCTTTCTGTACGTATACATACATATATATGTGACCATATATGTATATATAGTTGGATGATCTTGGGTCATGATATATATAAATTTGCATGCTCAGAAGTTTCATTGTGTGCTTGCGTATGTATACACGTGACTATATATGTGTATATAGTTCGATGATCTTGGATCATGATATATATATCTCTCTCTTCAAAATTGTATGCCTCGGTTACAGAAATATTATAACTTAAGATGTATTTTTCTGGTTTAATTGAATTCCATTTTCGGTTTGTTTTGGTTTGCTGCAATTTTCTGTGAATTTTAATATGAAACTAAAAATACAAAATTACAACAAACCAAAACAAACCGAGAATGCAATTCAATTAAACAAGGAAAATATAAGACTAGATCACATAGATGGAGCCATATAATATGCATATTGAAATTTAGAGATTTTGGACGGCCAACAATTTTAAAATTTCGAATCATACAAAACTATAACATTAAAACCTAACACATATATCCAAGATGGGGTGATTCAATTGAACCATAAAAATATAAGACTAGATCACATATATCAAAATTCAAATTACATTATCAGATGTCATTCACCCATTCACGGAGCTATAAAATACGCATATTGAAATTTAGAGATTTTGGACGGCTAACAATTTTAAAATTTCGAATCACACAAAACTCTAACATCAAAACCTATCACATATATTCAAGATTGGATGGTTACA